TCAACTCGGTGACCGTGAACCACCCACACTCCCCGTCCCGGCCGTATCCTCTATGAAAACGAATTTTCCATGGTTGCTGTGTGGCCGGTCGGATCGATTGTGACTCGTGTGGCTCGTTTGATCCCCTTTGTTTTCATCGTCGGCGTTATAAATAATTAAACGATAAGGATGACGGTAATTAACAACGTGTTTATAAACGCCGCGCGACGCGATAACATTGTGCCGTAGGATAATGTGTGCGTTCAAGGAATAAATAAAAGGAAACTTACGGGACGAACACGCGACGCGAGCGAGCGGAGCGGGGCGGCGGGCGCGACTGTTATCAGCTATTATCTGAGAGCTGAAGGGGTGTGTATGCCGAGATGTTCCTCCAGAGTAGCCAGCCTGACCGGGGGCGTCACCGATAATGTGTTTTGGTAAGACGATAATGCCGCGCTAGATCATTGGAAACCGAGTGTGACTCGCCGGTTTGATTTCAATGTTATCCTCGACACGTTTGAATTCCGCGGGGGTCACCGGTGACCCCTGATCAAATCTGATTAACCCCTTCCCGTACAATGACGAGTAAGGCTCGCGATGAAGATTTGTAAACTAATTTAATCAATGTTGTTCGTTACCCACGGATCAAGGCAAACTGTTTTGCTATTATCAATGCATTATCTTGAAATGAAATTTTCACCTGAAGTAGAATGGAAAATTTTCTTGTATTACAAATTGTCGATAGTAAAATATTACACGAGCTTAGTAACGGAAGTAAATAGTACGCCAAGGGGCTAACCCTTCGCGTTAACCCTTCGTCAAATGACCTGATCTCTTCTTTTCGCAATTATTAGAAAGGTAACAAATGTTTCTCTGAGAAATTAAAGAAATTCATTTAGCACTGTGCAAATTGAATTGTAAATCAATTACAGTCTGAACAAAATTTTCAAAAGTCAATTGAAGTGCTCGGTAGTTTTACTGTCAACCGCTACATAGTTCTAGTGTCAAGGGACAACCAAGAAAGGGGTCGGTACGTTACCGATCGGATCGAGCTAAAGTCAGCTGTTCCTTCGAACACTGCGTTCCTATCGATTGTCCCTCGGCAAAGAAAAATAGGCGACGGTACTGCGCAGCGCGTTCAGTGCCGGGGCCGACGAAGAAGCCGAAAGATTTCCGCGGATCGCCGCTCGGACTGGCCACGGTGAATGAGTTAGGTAGGACGCCGCCAGCCGCGGCCCCTCTCCCCGCGGAGAGCCGCGTTATTAGAGGAAGCGCTACAAGGTCGAGCGCGTGCCGCTCACCGGTATTTTGGCACCGTTGTGTACGCACGCGATGCACTTTCTTCCCCGACAAATAAACACGGCCGCCTGTCCGCCGCTGTTTTATCTTTCTCGGGTTTTTTGCTGTCAGGCTGTGCCTGCGCGGACGACGAATCGCGGCGAGGATTGCTCGCGATAACAGGAACAGGAAGCGGCCGCGATTTCACGGGGTTTTTGTAAACATGGCGACACGTGGCGGCCGGACGGGCCGTCTGGGTATTTTTAGAGGCCGGTTGCAAAACCACTTGGCGATATTTAGCCCTTCGTTGCACGCTTTTCCACGTACGCGTCGCCAATTTTAACCTGTCCCAAGACTCGTCGGGCATTTGCGGAACTGGTTCGTAGAGAATTATTTGTTTACCGGGGAAAGGAATCTGTATTTACCATTAAACTGTCGATGATAGGGGAGTGTTTCATTTAGATTTGAACTGAATGCCGTTTCGATTTTTCAGATTGAAATGTAAATGACGGATGCGACGCGATACAGGACGAGGATTATTTAGCGCTAGGTTTCTGGATCATTTAGCGCTGTAGCTAGGAAAAGTGATGTTCAGTCGATGAAAATCGAGGTGAACGTTTGCCAGGGAATGCTTGTGACATTCGGTATGCGTGAAATTGATGTGTTCAGTGAACCTGGTGTTAACATATTCGAGGCCGATGACGTGGTCTACGTCATTTCGGATCTCCTAGCTGAATGCCAGTAGTTTGAAAGTCTATAGTCGAGTATTGTCGACACAGTTGTCAACCCTTTGCAAACGAATGTCATTTTGCTGAGATGAAACTTCCATGTTTGGAATACCCAGTTTTGAACGAATGATTTAACTGTTGGAACAGCAAGAAATCAGTACACAGTTTCCTTATTCATCATGATTTAAGCATTCGGTGTTTAATTCAGCAGAATTTGCAAAAGGTTCTGTATACTTTCAACAATCTTCATCCGCAAAGGGTTAATAGGTACAATAATATAGACACGTTTTAAATAATATTAACTTTATTACAAAATTAACGTTACTTCACTGGATTTGTATCGTTACGATATGAAGTTTATTTATTTCTAGATATGGTATGAACATGAAGTTTCCATGAAAAATTGTCGCGTCTCCCAGGTTGGAAACCGTGGCCTCACGGTATTCGGTTCTAGACTTTGAGAAGTTTCTAATGCTTCCACGCAAATCAGTAACACTGTTCGAGCTTCTCCTCGACTGTTTGCGAACGCGCGAAAACTCGGTTGAACGCGGCTGTTCACGCCTGTTCGTTCGAAAGCTTTATCTGCCGTGATAAGGAACTGATATTCCATGTGTCATTCTTTTTATCGTTGGTCTCCGAGCTATTCGCATTCCACGGATAATGGTTTGCTCTTTCGATTAGCGGTCTTCAGGATTTTCCCTGACCACGGAGAAGCCGGAGGCGATTCGGCGTTAGGTGTGGGGGGAGCGCGAAGGGGAAGGGGAAAGAGATGGGCTGAATGGTTTCGTTCAGTCGCGGCAGAGGTTGCACCAGATGCGAATTGTTCGGTTTTATCGGGAATAGGCTCTGAGGTGGATAACGAGAGTGACTTTTTATTGACGCGTTTACGAGGATCTCGAGCGTTTTAATCATTGTAACGACAATTTCTCCTTTGTAACAATGACTGATTATCATCTGGTTACTCGTCTTGCTAAATATTTTCATCGACATCGGTTCTTTCATTGGAATTATTTCAGAGGAATTTGGAAGTTCCGGTCGTCGTGACGCCATGGCAGTCAGACGTGTTAATAGATGGTTGAAAAGTAATCAAGTTTTATACGTTTGGAAAACAGATTGTTCTTATTTGAATTTTATTATTTATCGCACAAAATGCCAGTTGACTCGCTGAAAAATAGAAATCGTTATTGTCGATATTCGAGGAAAGGTCGTTAAATTGGAATGAAACATTCTTGTCCTCTAATCTCTGTTCACTGGTATCCGGGAATTACAAGGGAACCGTGATCAGGGTATTATCAGGGATAACGTAAGCTTTCCTTCAAGTTTCCATTTATTATTCCAACGGAATCAACTCGGATTGGCTCAAACGACACGGCCACTTCGACTAATGCCCATTGACCCCTAATGAAAACAATAAGTAATAACAGAACAGCAATAACGGAAACGTTTCATTTCTCGTTTCAGATTTAATTCACTGCACGAACGAACCGAACGTATCGATACCGCAGCTGGCGAACCTTTTAATCGAACGGTCGCAGAACACAAATTGGACGGTAGTTTTCAAGGCTCTAATCACGGTGCACCATATGCTCTGTTATGGGAACGAGGTAAAAATCGCCATTGAGACTATCTGCATTGCAGAATGGGACTCTTTAGAAGTGCTCGAGAGCCGGACGGGGAGAGAGCAGGTCTCTTCTTCAAGTTAGACCGGACGAAAACCTCTCTTTCGTGTAGGACGGCAAGGAATAATCAATTGAAAAGAAATACCGCGGCGATGGTGTACTTGGTCTTGCTACGTTTAATTGGCTTTTCATTATACCGATATTCCAGTCGTCTCTGTTATGCTCGAATCACTTTGCTACCTGAAAGAACCAGGCAGCCATCGCGTGTTCAATTCATTGTAATATGTAATCGATTCAATGGAAATTATATACTAATAGGGTGTCGCGAAACAATGTTACCACAGTTTGATTTCAATGTTCATAACGAACCGTGTGTCCGAGTGTTATTTTTGTAAAGTAATATTCAGTGTTTTACCGGCTAATAAAATGCGATAACACTTGTTCGCGGCACCATTTGCGATACAAATAATATAATAATATAATAATAAACTATGAATAATTTAAAGGGAATCAAGCGAATTTTGAAAATGGTATAAACCAGTTGAATATCCTCATTTTCTTAAATCTTTGAATTATACGCTAAAGCATTTGATATTGGATACAATATTTTATATTAACGTGTTGGTTGTATATTGATAGTGGAGAAACTTGGAATAGTAGTGAAAGAATAGATTTTCAGCCGGTTGTTTATAATGTAACGGGTCCCTAATAATAATAATAATAATGCTGACCGGTGAAACGTTCCCCATTGTATGGGATTCTGTTTTTCTTTTTCACTTGTATTCATTCACGGTCCTGAGCATCGGCGAAATTCGTTGAAGGTATTATTTACATCGGTTCAGAGGTCATCTAACTCATTTCAGGTTCAATAATGAGTTGAAGAGGGGAAGTGTCGTCGCCCTTGCACGAACATGCCCGGGATCGAAGTCCAGCATTCGCGATTCGCAATTCAGTTCGGGGCACGTTACAACATTATTGTACACACGGGGACATTGTTAATTAATTCGCAGGAGAATTCGAGCTACGATCACGAGCGTCACGTTTCGAGCACTTCTAGAGTCGTTAACTATAAGCCAATTCGACAGTGGTACTCGTATATTAACGGCGCATTGACCTGTCTATGTTGCAGAGGTTTACACAGTACCTGGCGTCCAGCAACAGCACGTTTCAGCTCAGTAATTTTCTTGATAAGAGCGGCGTGCAAGGTAACTTGAACGTATTTGAGGGGATACACTTTGCGTTAGCTTCTATCGGGTGGTTCAATTGAAAGTTTTGCCCTCCCCTCCCCCTCCTCCTTCGCCCTTAGTAGTCTCCCTGTTAAGTTAATCGGATTTGTCGGTGATTCCCATTTGACTCGTTGAACGGTATATTAATTGAACCACTCTAATTGTAAGTAGCATGGAAAATTAGTCTTCGCTTTCTCTTGCATTGGACTGTTCACTATATTCTCAAGGCTGCGTATAGTTGTAAAGTTATTGGAAGTATTGCACGCACACCAGCACAGTCACTGGGAATTGTGTCAATAACATTGAATCAAGGGTGTTACGATACTTTAAATCTTAGATATTTTCCTCCGATCTCTGATAACACACCTCCTCCCATCTCTGAATAAGAAACTTGGTAATGAACTCTTCCTGGTTAACTTATTAGCGTTCTGCAGTTATCTGTATCTGGCCTTTGTCTATGATTTACTAACCTGGAACTAATTTTCTCTCTGTATTTGGCAACAGCAGGAGCACGCATTGGTGAGTTTACTCATTTAATCGTTCATAATCGAATCCACACTGTATTGTGGCTATGTAACTGACCCTACGGTGCACTAACCATGCGTCTAACAATAAGTTCACAGATCATGGAGATACAGAAGAACTTTGGTACTTGATCTATCATTTGGAAATGGTGTTTTGACGCATCTCATAGAAAATGTTATGGATACAATTGTACGTATGCTCTATCGAATCAGTTGGCAAAGGTGTTTTAGAGGCCAGCACAGTTCTTCTGAGATCTCCATGCATCTGATTCAATTGATATTGTAACTTTTTTTTTCTTTTTTTCTTTCTCCTCCATCGACAGAGGACACCGAGATTAATCAATTCACCGTTCGTGTGACGCACTCTCATGTTTCAGGGACTGAAAGCGTGCTAGGATCGATAGTTTCAATAATGCCCTCATCACGCTTCCACCTGTGAAACGGTCGCACGCAGACGTTCGCACCTGCACCAATTCCTCTCGGTTTCCTCTGTGCAACCACTTTAGAATAAATCGTGTTGTCATTGAGATTGATGATCCGGTGAAATTTGTCTGTTCAGTAGTTCTAGACTAACCTGTAGACATTCCATCGGAATATCCTCTAAAGGCGCACAGAGGTGCTTCACTCTGGTCATTCAAATTTCTTTTCTGTACATTAACAAATTTTCACACGATTATCAGTCCCATTAACGTGTCGAGAACTCACTGTGGAACAAGTGTGAATCACGCTTGGTGATTCCTCTTTGATCCAACCCGATAATGAAATTCTTGTGTAAATGTCTTCTTAGAAAGGTTTCCCTTCACTGTAGTATTGACCTTTAATGAATGAACGCGTCTCTTGTTCATCAGGCTATGATATGTCACCGTATATCAGGCGATACGCCAGATACCTCAACGAGAAGGCTCTTTCCTATAGAACTGTGGCATTCGACTTCTGTAAAATGAAGAGGGGGTAAGGAAACACACACACACACAACTTCTCTTTAAGAAAGAAAGAAAGAAAGAAAATATATTATCGTTTATTAATTCAACTTTCTCGGTTGGACCAGACATTAATCTCAGTGTTTCCGTTCTAGGAATGATGTGGGCGCTCTGCGCACAATGAATGCTGAGAAACTGTTGAAGACCCTGCCGGTATTACAGGCCCAACTGGACGCGCTTTTGGAGTTCGATTGCTCGGCGAATGATCTGACGAATAGCGTTATAAATATGGCTTTCACGCAACTCTTTCGGGATTTGATCCGACTGTTCGCCTGCTACAACGACGGCATTATTAACCTGTTAGGTAAAACAGTTTTGTCGCTTTCCTTCTTTCTATTGTTACTCGACCAAGCCTCGTTTGATCGGGTTTTGACTCATCATTTGGTTCCTCGGATTTCAGAAAAGTATTTTGATATGAATAAAAAGCAATGCCGCGAAGCTCTAGATTTATATAAGAAATTTCTGATAAGAATGGATCGGGTCGGCGAATTTTTGAAGGTCGCAGAGGTAAGGCTGTGTGTGGAACCTTTGGTTTCGAATATACTAAGCGTGTGCACGCTGGTAATTTATCGTCGAATTGATTCGTATTTGTTTCGCAGAATGTCGGCATCGATAAAGGGGAAATACCTGATCTAACAAAGGTAATAAAATACTTTATGCGATGTAAGTAACCTCTTGTCGGAGAGGGGCTAGGCCACTCGATTCGACATTTACCGGGGATCAGATTAATTTCATTCTGTTTAATCAAGTAGTTCTTCCACTCGACATATTGAAAATAGATATTTTTTAGGCCCCGAGTAGTTTACTGGACGCGTTGGAGCAACATCTTGCCTCTTTAGAAGGGAAAAAGGGCTCGGCTGCCAACACACCCACACAATCGGCAAGGTATGTCGTTTACAATTTTTCTATACGACTCGAGTTTATGTTAACGTTCAGAGTATGAGTAAAAGTATACTAACTTTGAAGAATATTTTGCGATATCTGAACGTATTCGTTTTTATCAAAGTAAAAGGTGTAATGTGAAAAACCAACAGTATATACCGATTGAAAAGAAAAGAGAAAAAAAGCACAGTTGCATTGAATCAACAAAGAATAGGCATTTTGATAAATCCCAACAGACTTTCTCCCACGTTTACCGTTTTCTACAAATTCTATAAACACGAAAATACAAATCCCATTTATCATCCGACCGATAATCATTCTATTCTCCTCGCAAAATGTTTTGTCAGTTGTAGGGTGAAAGGTAATGTGGTCATTTGTTTTTTATTGCTTGGAAAAAAATGCGCTTTTACGTTTCAAACATAACGTTTCTTTCTCATTCTTTTTTCTTTATTCGTTGTTCGTTTGTGTTGCGGTCTACGATAGTTGCAATTTTTAAAGCCCTCGTTTGGCGTTGCCTTTGCTTTTTCATTTCTAGAAATTGGCCAAGCATATTTCAGTTTCGTTTTCTTGTTTAAGCTGCGCGCTATACATGCTGCTGCTGCTCAAAAGTTGCGTGCTACTTGTTCAGTGAAAGCTACGTACACATAGAAACTACGCGATTCGTATAGATTATATTTACTTCTTAACACTCATGGAAAATGATATTACAGGAGACACAGGTGAATTAACTTAGAAGGTACTATGTTTTCAAAATTATATATGTATATATTTATTTTTTCCATAACGCAATTTTATATTAACCTTTTGAGCAGTGACGACGTGTGTTCTTTCGCTAAATCTTTACTTAGCTTGCTAATATGGTTTTTCAGTTTCGCGTGCAAAATATATTTTCGGTACTCTTACGTTGACTACAGCACGTGTCCAACGTTTCCATTTTCTTTGGTTCTTAGTTCTGTACAGTTTCCAACAGTACGTTACGAAGGTGCAACGCAATCTTGGAATAAAACTGAATCGATCGAAAGTTTCCAATGAAATTTTCTTTTCCGCGACACGTTCCCGAAATTATTGTAAATTCGCTCGACGTCGAGGAAACGTGTTCGCAGTTTAAACTGTCTCTTCTGTGTGTATTACGATAGCCTCTCTCACTCTGTCTCTCTCTTTCTCTCTCTCTCTCTCTTTCTCTTTCTCTGAATCTTCACTTTTACAATGAAAATTTTGTTGCAACTGACTCTCGTTTGTCACTTACAAGCCAAAGTGTTGTTCGATTATTGCACAATTTTCTTTCTTGATCCAATACTTGTCGTTCTACCGATCAGAAGCTAGAAGCTAGGAATTCGATATTTTATTGCACACAAGTAAATCTGTATATAAATACTGTATACGTATGCGTGAGCGTTGTGTGTAACTGTGCGTATGAAAGAGAGGAGGGTGTACACCGTAGAAATAGCAAAGACAAAGGAAGGAGCGTCTTTTTTTTTTGTTGTTGTTTCGTTCGTTCATTGTAACTCACATTGTTATTAGGTGGAACGAGTTCAAAGTAATCGCTTATGTGCTTCTATTTAACTTGTTAACCGGGGTAGAACGGGTTCACGTCGCGTTGTGTTCAACAGCGTACCGCGCTGTGTTACTCGTCATTGTTATTTTTCTCTTTATCCGTTTAAAAACATTCTTCGTTCAACCTTATAGTAATAATAATAATAACAATCGAATTATTATAATAATTCCAATACATTGTCCCTTGGTAATATCGAAAATCTCTTGGGGAAAAAATTGAATCCACTTCGGATCGTTGGTCATTCATTGTTCATTAAGTCCGCGGAGATGTTCAGATCGCCCGGTTCACAGGTTAAAACAAAGAGACAGAAAAAGTAGCCAGCTAAATACGGTCTAGTAAAAAAAAGGTGTCCGTACAAGGGAAAGGGGAGGAGGCCCGCCGCATATAAAAGCAGCATGCGTGTCCTGTTTGTCTGTGTAAACGTGTGTCTGTGGGCGTGTATGGGAGCACTGACTAGTTGAACTTTTTTACACATCGTTGTATCTTTATACATATTACACCGTTTCTTTGTTTTTTTGTTTGTCTTCTCCTTTGTTTTCAATGATCAACGTTCCTTTTCGCTCCTTCTCTCTCGGCCACACTCGTCGTCTACGTTGAAAATGGCTTCTCTTCCCGCCGTTCCTCTGTGAAATCCACGGCTCTCCCGTCTCCGAGACGACACGTCCGATCTCCTCCCGCCGTTCTTCCTGCCCGGCCTCCTATCATTATCCAAGCAGCAATAGAACGAATGTAAAGTCGGGAGTGTCCGCCCTGTCTTCCACCAGTACTGCGTTTGGAACAGCAGCCAGTAATAACCGCCTCGACCACACCGGGAACGGACACATCGACGAAGCCCTGAGGCAGCAGGCTCTGGCCGAAGAGGAGGCTGCCATGAATCAGTACAAGGTATCCTAGAACCGTGAACCCCCTGGCAGTAGCGTTTTTTTTTCCTGCATCAGAATAGAGACGGTTTTCAGTTAGATCGGTGATCTTTAACACGCTGAATACCGCACGATTTTATCAAGCGAAACACACAGAATGGAAAAATATGTTATTATAATTGCACGGTGATCTAGCTGAATGTCAGCGTATTAGGTGGCATTATTTGTAATATAGAAACGTTTCAATCGAGTGAACTATAGCAATTTGTCTACGGCATTCAATGTGTCAACCTTTCCGCTGATCAGCACCTTCTTGGGTTTGAGAATAGTGTGTTTTTGTTTTCTTTTTGTCCAGGAAATCACGTGTATCGCGGGATCATTTATTTATTGAGAAACAAACAGATACATTTACAGTAGAAATAGTGATACGGTCATAGGAAACAGTCGACAATTTCAATTTTCAATGGATACATTGTTGTTGTTATTTATTCATAATGATATTATGAACCACCGAGTTAGACACCATGCTCGATAGTTCCATGCCAGTGTGTTTTATGGGTTATATTACATTCCAGGCGAAGGTGCAGTCCCCGTCAACCGGGCCCAGCACAAACCCATTCCTCAGTTCGCCAACGAACAATGCTGATCAACCCATCGTAGACCTGTTCGGTGCACCAGCAGCGACGGCGACCAACGAAGCTCAGGTAGAGCCGTCTACACTCTATATGCTGTTCTCCTAGAATAACGTTTCCATGCGCGAGCGATCGGGAATTGATTTTATTGCTTTGAGCCACAGAAAGCATCGGACGATTTGCTCCAGTTAGCAGGAAATCCGTTCGCAGACATGTTCGGCGGAGCTCAGACCGCACCAGCTCAAGCTGCGCAGCCGCAGAACAACATGTGGATGACTAATGGTAACGGTAAATACAAGTTTCCCTTTTTGTTTATTTCGTTACCTTTTTATTTCTCTATTGGAAGCATTATTATTGATCTCTCGTGGTGGTGTGTCAGTGGCGTTTGTTCACACGCTTTTGAAACGACGATTGAATCAGGTTATGTAAAGCAGTTCCGATCCTTAACCTTTTAATCTTGAAACTCGACTTGCGAACGTCGAAGCGAATAGTGTCCCGTGAACAAATGTTCAAGCCCACCGTGCATTTTTCTCAAACCGTTGGACTATTCTTTTATGTTGTTTCATCAGTATCTTTTATTTTTTGGTTTGTAGGGTTTCCGGCAGTACCACCGGCAAATAATAACTTTGTTACAGATAACAGCTTCTCCTCCGTGTTCGGTAATCAAGACGCTCAATCTGGTAAGTGTCAAATTCGTTCGTTCCCCTCTCGATTACAAGACAAATTTTATTCTGCACCGTTTCTCTCTTTGTCCTCGTTCACATTGTACATATATATCTCTCTCTATATATATATACATATTCCCGTTCCCAATCTCTTTTACTGCAAAGAGTTCTACCGCTTAATACTTTTTTATTGTACCATTTGCATCTTACTCTAAATTGCCTAGATTCATAGGTGAGACGATGCCTGTGCAAGTTGATCCTCATTTATACAAACATCTGCGGGAACGATATATCCAGCAGAGACATTTGTTACATAGCGAAACACAAGAACAGCATTCTTATAGTTTCCAAATACTTCTCATAGACACTTTATTGTCAGATTGTAACAGTAAATGTGCTTCGTGGTATGAGTCCAGTCCGTTTCAAGCGTGTGTCGAGTCACGTCTGCAGTGCAGTAAGAGACATCGTTGTTCGCAAGATACAATACTCTATCGATAAGAGCGACACGCTTAACTATTCTTAAATCTCCGATTACCTAGATCCAAGCGAACGAACATCAACTTCTCTAGGAGGAATAAAGCAAATTCCGCGACAAATCAAACCTAGCGTCAATCTAGTAACCGCGCGCATAATGTTGCAGCGTTTCACTCGAAGAACAGCGATGTGTCTTATCCTCATCACCCACGTGCCATCGTCCCTATCATCATCACCATCACCAACACCATCATCATCATCATCGTCATCATCATCATCCTAACGGTATCATTCCACGGGAAGCGTGCACGCTAACGATAAACTCACTGTCGTCCTCGTCGAAGCGAACATACTAACCTCAGCGCAAGACTAACCGATCTCGGGCGTGCGAATGCCCGAAGCTAATCAATGCACACCTTGATTTTTGCGCAAGCTGGTGCCCCAGGAACGTCCGGATCCGTACCGAATCCATTCATGTCCGACTTCCCCTCCCTCGGTCCTCAGCCGACGCAGCAGAACGCTGCTGCTGCTGCCGCCTCTTTCGGTCTGTTTGAGCAGCAGGGTGCCGCGCCGGATATTACTAGCAATACGGTGATAGGTGGTGACGGCCAGCAACAGTTGCAGACCGGAGACCTGTTCAGTGCTGGCGGCCAGGCAGATCTCTTTGGGAGCGACTCAGCAGTGCTCCGAGCCGCGGAGGGCGCCGCTGGGGACGTTGCCGGCGAGACACCGTCCTCAGCGGCCCTTGCTTCTGGCAAGTCCACTGCCACGCCGCCTCCCAGACCGCCGCCTCCCGCGACAGCCGGAAACGGCACGCCTAGGCCTTCCTCGCCGACGATCCACGGAGCGGCGACCGGCAAACCCGGCGCCGGGCAACCTGGCGCCGGCCTAGCCGCCGCCGCTGCTCCCAGCAAGAGCGCGTTCGATGATCTAAACGATAGCATACGTATGGCACTGGGCGGGTCTCCGTCGCGATCGGCACCCGTCGCTCAACAAATTCCAACCGCCACTCAACCGGCACAGCAACCTACGCAGCAGGGTTTCAGCATGTTTGATATGCCCGGTAACGTGCCAGCCACCGGGCAGCCTGTTATGCCTGGTGGATCCATGATCGGCTACGGTATTGCGAGCCAAGTTCCGGCTGGATACGGTTCCCCGACAAAACAGTCGATCTCAGGTGATGGGATATATGTATAGATGGTTCCTCTCTCTCTCTCTCTCTCTCTCTCTCTCTCTCTCTTTTTACTTTCTCTCTTTTTGTATCTTCCGTGCATGCCTTAAGAGAATCAATAATATTCCACGGATCGCCGGCTACGTACTCTCTTCTCGATACGTTTTTGTACCATATGTTTTTTGTTTATAAATAATAGTACCTTCCGGATAATCGTTTGGCCCAGGTGTTGAGAGAGTTAGCCCCTGTTTTACTACTATTTGTGTTTGGAACGTAGACCTGTCGAGTCCTGGTATGGGATACTAGATAGTTAGGTGTGTCTTTAACACGGTGTGCTTCGTTGTGTTTGAGGACTGCTTCGAAATTATTGTTGCCGCGGTAGTTTCGTCATCGTTTGTAGAAGAGACGAACATCGGTTCGTTGTGTCGGGAAGCTTGTAGTTCTCATAGGAATGAAGTACGTACCCCGAGAAGTGCAGCATTAGTGATTCTTGCCTTGTTCTGTGCTCGTGGAATTATGTACTGCTACGCTTGAACCTCTCATCTCATTAGTCGACGATATTTGTTTATAATCTGACATCGTGTACACATCATAGTAAACGAGAACATGTTTATTTTACGACTTTATTTCTTGTGGAAGAAAGCATGGCATCTTAGACCTGACCTATACAAAGATTAAAGAAGCTCTCTCTATCTCTCTATCTCTCTCTATCTCTCTCTATTTCTTGTAGAATCCCAGAAAAGTTTGTCGACTCGATGGTTGGGATCATTTGTATTTTCAGTTTGTAGACTGTACGGCACCGTTTGACATTTCACTTAGCGCGGTAGTCCCTGTCCGTTAAGATCCATGCTTTTGTTGAGTTACAGAGTCTCACATTGTTATTTTCTGTAACCGTGCTCCGCCATTTTCGGTTCTGCTTTTCCGGGGCTTTGGCTGATGTAGATGTTGCTTAGGTTTTGACGGTTTGACCTCGGTCCTGATGCCTACCACTGTAGCTGGAGATAATCATATTTCAGCAGCAGGGCAGCAGCCGAACGTGGCGGCCACCGGCAAAGTCCTCACCGGGGATCTGGACAGTAGTCTGGCCAGCCTTGCACAGAATCTGACCATCAACAAGAGCGCGCAGCAGCAAGTCAAGTAAGTCAGAATGTTTAGAGCGACGCGCCGCAGGCTTATCGTCTACTGATCAAAAATTCAACATTACTCGCTAAGATGATTTAATATTTTTTTAGAGGGATGCAATGGAACTCGCCTAAGAACGCTGCGAAAACGGGTGGCCCGGCTGGATGGACACCGCAACCAATGGCAGCCACGACAGGCGCCGGTTACCGTCCAATGGTGAGTGGATCACGACGTGCCTCGATCCATCATTTTCTCAGTATTTTGGAGTTCCCACGTCGGCACACACACAGTGTTCTTAAGATCATTACCGAGCTATATATATCTCCTCTTAGGACAATATTGCACCGCAATCCTCACGTTGTTCACCCTTCAAACTCTTTATTCTTCTCCGATAAGAGTCGATAACGTGTTATCTGTTCCTTATGGTTTGACATTGAATCTTTATCAGCATGCGCCTCTTACTTATTATCGAATCACTGTTTATTACGAGTAATTCTGTCAGTGTCTCCGCACCGCTCCGCGATAACCATTTCTCGTCCGTTCTATTTTCGTTTCTGCGGTACGGACAGACTAAACAGAAAACAACAGATACAGTTGTACATAGTAGATAATCGGGGAGAGCAAGTTCAATGACAGAGAAAAGAAAGTTCACGGGGAATTGTATTTCCTTGACCTTAGGTCAATCATGAATGAGTACACGATTTAGCGTTATCACGCTTGCTTCATCGCTCGTTAAGCTTCCACATAGATAAATCACTTTTGACGTACGTACTTTTTGCTTTCTCTCTTTCTCTCTATCTCTTTCTCTCTTTCTTTTTTTTACATTGAAGTGGTAATTGAAGATTAACCCCGTTTCATCTGAACGATCTCTTATCGATCATGCAATCGGATGGCCAGTCGATCTTTAGTTGTACCACTTTCATGTGAGAATCTGTTTAATTAGAGCAGTGCTGCATTAGATTACAGATTTATTATCTTTTTAGTATGAAATGTGTCATAAGAATCTAGTTAGAATATGAGTATAAACGGTGATTGTTAATTGGCACACTTAGTACGATGCATGCATGGCATATGGCATGCTACGTGGCTGTTGCAGGGTCAAGGAATGACGCAACTTCCTCCAACTACCCTGGGCTTCCCTCCCCATTCTACGGCATTGGTAAGTTGTATTTTGTAATAGACATCCTATCTGTTTCACGTTGCTACACATAAAGTATCGCCACTAATCAGCCTCCATATATAAAGACAAACATTTCTGTACTCTCTTTAAGCAGAAGTAATCGGAAGTGTTATATTTTTAAACCTATGAGACAACTCTCGTCCAGCATCATTGTTCGAGTATGCTCGAGTGGCAACTGAATCAGATTAATGTGTTTAAAGCAAAAATAATTCTCTGAACATACACAGTGTAACATACAAATTTTTACTGTTATGTCGCATCTGGGTATTCTCTCTCTTCCTCTCTCTCTCTCTTCCCCCTCTCTCTCACCCTTTCTCCCTGTTTTTGCTTCTGTATTGATTCTTGTACATTTAATGCATACGTGATTTAATGAAAAGTTAGTTTATCTGGTCGACTAGACTCTCTGTATCTTTCTCTGTGTTCTTGACTACTGCACGTTATGACTAGCACTCTGTCTCACCAGTGATACACATATATCACTATGAGTTTTGTATTCTTTTCCGTTTGTAAATAGAAATACTTGTATATACACTCTCCGGCTGTAGTGGATCCTTGTCTATTCGCATCCGACACATACACCTGAGATCAGTGTACAAAGTATCCCATCTTGAACTGTTATCCAGAAATCTGTTTAAGACAACTGATAACCGCACACGTAACACACATATAAATTACCTTAGAAAATCTCTATTCGGTCCCGATTGAAAAATGGTCAGGCCTCAGAATAAAACAATTCCAGAGAAGATACATGAAAACAGATTGGGCTTGAAACGGTAAACATTCCAGAAGTACAGGCTGGATCTGATTGGGCGGCTTTCTGGTGTCCCTAGGGAATGCAAGGTGTGCCAATGGGCATGCAGGGCATGAGGCCGATGATGAACGCAATGCCTGGCGGTCCCGGTGGCATGATGGTTGCAGGAGGAGCTGCGCCAATGATGATGCCCAACGCGAATCCCATGATGGGTGCTAATCTGCAACAGCAACAGCAGCAGCTGCAACAGCAACAGCAGCAGCAACAACCACAAAGTGCTGCGCAACCGCAAAATAACGCAGTCCAACTTGACCCATTCGGTGCTCTGTGAAGCGTTTAGGTATCTATTCCCCCCTCACCGTAGAAACTTTCTAGCGACGAAACGAGTCGATTCGAACAAGAACCAACGGGCCCATGTACATACCTTCGAATTAACTGTAATTAACACTTCTGTTGTAATTAACCAGCTA